CATTAGGAATCCTCCTTTGCAGTCTTGACCTGGCCCATTCTGACTTTGTGTTCTAAAAATTCTTTAAAGGACCCTCCTAGCATTTTAGTTACTGTAAAATATTTTATTCAGTATTTATTGCTGACTGAATCACCAGCATGCTCAATTCTTTAGGGACTAATTTTTAACTTTTATTTTTTCATGATTTTATGAAATATGAGGAGATTTCAGAATCTTCACAGAAAGTAGAATAAACAGATAAGTTTATTTTAGAGCAAAACTACGTGTAGTATGAATTCCTCATAAACTTTTTGAGGTATTCTTATTTGTATATATAGGCAATATTTATGCTAAAATTTTATGTAACGTGTCAGAGAAAGTGCCACACAAGTGTTAACTAGATACAAGATGTTAAAAATTAAAAAGCGTTCAGCTAAAAATAAAACTTATATTTGGAGGGGCAGGGACAGAGGAATGAAAGTTGTTTAACTGTTAATAAGAGTAGTGATTTTAAAAAAAAGGTGAGAGAAGATGGAAATAAATGAAGTTATCGTATTGAAGCCGAAGGAAATAGGAGGAAATATTTGTTTTAATTGGATGTGGCACTGTATTATTTCTGGCAAGTTATTTGTGTATGTTTCCCGAGATAAAAGAAAGTATCCATTACTAGAACACTTAGAACTTCTGAATCAGTAGGAAAAAAAATGGAATAAATAAAACATAGGTCAAAGTATAAAGAATCTGAGAAGTGTGTAATGTAAAAGAAAAGCTATTCTAGCCGTCATTTTACAAGCACAAGTTAAATCAATTGCTTTATTTATAAGTGAAAGAATTGTCAAGTTGAATTACAATGTAAAGATCAGGTCAGATGTCTACCCTGGCAAGGAAAATATTTCTTTTTTATTTCATTCTATTTTTCTTAAGATTTTAAATTTTTCATAACAAAGCAGAGGCTGATGGTTAGAACTGGATAGCTGGGCTCTCTCTTTGCATCTCCTTGCAATCTGAAATGTAATGTTCCCATGTCTGAATAGTCGACATTCTTATGGATCACACACTCTAGCCAAAACATGTAGCTTGAGACTTTTTCGGGAAAATAAACCTCGTCTATCCACCACAGCCACTCTGCTTCCTGCCATCACGCCACTTTGTCTGGGTGTAGAGAGTCACGTTGTCAAGTGTAAATCAGTGTAGCCACTGTGGAAAACAAGAGGCAAGTTTCCTTAAAGACTGGAAATAGACGTGATACAGCAATTCCATTACTGGGTGTATGCCTGAAACCATGAAACAAGTACATCAAAGAGATACCCAAGTCATCATGTCTACTGGAGCACTGTAAAACAACCAAGATGCAAAATCAACCAGGATACCCATCATCAGAGGAGTAAATTCAGAGAGGGTGGCATTCATACACAGTGAAACGCTACTCAGCCATAACAAGTAATGACATTCTAGCACATGCTAGAAAATAGATGGAAGATGCCATGTCAAGTAAAACAGAACAAGCACAGACCAACAGACAGAGTCTGTTCTCCCTCATAAATAGGAGCTAAAGAAATAATTAGATCACGGAATGTTGATTAGCACAGGTTTGGGGCTGTGAGTGGGAGAGACAGAGGAAGTTCCGATTGGGAAGACATAGAGCTTGTTCATAATAAGCAAAGCTGCGTGTGATTCATTGGTTTTGACAAATATATTAATGTAAGATGGTGAGAGCAGAGGAAGCTGTGTGGGTGCACGGGAACTGTTTGTATTACTTCACAATTTGTGTTTAGTAAATTTAAAACTATTCTGAAATAATTTGCTTTTTATTATTTTTTTTTTACGAAGATGTGGGTGCTCTGTATAATAGTGCCATTGTGGATAGGAAACTATGAGTATACTTTTAAAAGTTCATGAAAAACAGAATGTGAAAATAAGTGCATTTTAGCCAGAAATTTTAAAATTCATTCATCTGGAATCAGTACGTACTTCCTTGAACTTCGTAAAGACCCCTCTTATGCATGGATGGCAAAATTGTTGCATCTCAGTAATTTTTTATTTCATTTTCCATGAACTTTCGAATCACTTTATACGTTTCTCCTTTTACATAAATGAAGATAGTAACAGGGATACAAAAAGTTAAAATAAAGTCTGTATAATTCCTTATTTGGGTTTGGAGGAAAGATACGCCACAGATCCTGGATCCTATGCTAATGGGAGGTGGGGTTGGAAACCAACAGCAACAAGAATTTTAAGGGAAGAAAGAAGACAAGATTGACCTCTAACCATCCTAACCGTCAAAAACCCTGACGACACACCTGCAGGAGAAATGGTTATAATGCAAAATAGAGGAATAAGTAGGCCGATCTGAGAACAGTTGATGAAATCACCAGCAAGCAGTGTTTGCATTAGAACTGTAAACACCTAAGCACATCGCGTCCTCTGTGCCTTAGCACCTTTTGAAAGACAATCTGTCTCCAAGAGAAAACTAACAGGAACAAAATAAACTTGAAGCTATGTCAGGAATTCTAGAAGCATGGAAAGAAGATTCAGCGGATGAGGGACCCGAAGACCTTGTGGCTTAGTGGATAAAGCCGGCGTGTGCAATGCCTGTGTCCCACAGGGGCGACATTTCAAGTCCCCACTGTTCCGTTTCCCACCTAGCTCCCTGCTAATGGCCTGGGAAAGAGGGCCCAAATCACTGACTCCTGGCACCCACCTGGCACTAGGAAGAAGCTCCTGGCCCCTGGCTTGTGTCTGGCTCAGCCTGGACACTGCAGCCATCTGGGTAGTGAACCAGCAGATGGAGGACCATTCTCAGTCCCTGCTTCTCTCTGTAACTGTGCCTTTCACATGATAATAACATCCTTAAAAAATAACTGTCTCTGGCATTCTATCAGAGTGCAAGTAAACGGACTTCAGCACTTCAGCACAATTCTCTGGCTCTCAAGACTTTTTTGTTTTATCCTGGTTCTAGCAAGAGAACATCAGCTTACAAAGTTCAAGAATCAATTTAGAAAACCATTACTTTGCAATGCTTATGAAATAAAGCATCTAAAAATGATCCTCAATGGACACAAGGACTGTTAGAAAGCTGGTGGACATTGTATTGTATTTACGTTTTGTGAGTTGTAAGGATCAGACTGGCAGCATTGGATCTTGTAATCCATCGGACAGTTGAGCCAGGTTTTTCCCTTTCAATGCGAGTCTGTACTACAGACACACAATCTCTCAGGGAATGTGCTCTGGGCGAAAAAGAATATCTTCCAATTTGCAAATAAATGGTTAACACGGCATGTGGGCGTCTGTGAATATATCAGATACAGTCACAAGGATGCTTTCCAACAAATCCAGAACTGGGAAAATTCACAAAGACCTAATATTTCAAAGTGAGGGACGAACAGCATCAAAAGAGGAAGACACAAAAAGTAGTATTTCAAAAAACAAAACAAATCTAGTATTTCAGAACTTTCATAAGGAAAAGTAGGAGAATATTAACATTGAGTGCTATAAAACTCTGCAGAGAATCCCACGGAGGGGACTCGGCCATGTTAGTCTAAGTATCGCCACCAGCATTTGGTACCTTTGGATGATGGGCAGCCATGAAAAAGCCTGGATACATTAATGATTGCCTGCAGGGGTTCTGGATGAAGACACCTGTATGCTTGGGACCAAAACCGCCCTTGACTTGCTCAAGGGGCAAAGGACATTTGACCTTGTCCTTCAAGCTTTCCTATTTCATCCCCTCAGTCGAGTTTGGTTCTTTCATTTCCCCAGTATGATGATGTTCCAAACAGGGATACAACATTGTGTACAAGTACCTGGAACAAAAAATACTGCTGCTGTCACGAACAGAAATAAACTCGGTATTTGGAACATTTTAAATACGAACTCCACCAATGAGGGAGTCATAACATTTTCAATTTACATGCATCTTTTCCTAAATTAGAAACAGCCTTAGCTACCAGTAGAACTTAACATTCCTCTTTTCTCCACGATTCCTATAAAATAAGACACCGTTTTTTAAATTAGAAGATCGTTATATCTTGCGTCCCTACAGGAGGGGATAAAGTTCTCCATTAGCTCGCGTTTACAAGTTGAGCGTCTCAGCCCAGTCGCCTGGGGCAGCCACCGGCTCCTCCATTCCCCAGATGACCAAACGCCCCTAGTCAAGAGTGGCCCCGGTCACCTGAGCGCACGCACCAACCCGCGCGCCGGGGCGCTCTCCGCGGCTTCCTCCCCCAGGACGCGCGGGCCAGCGGCCTCGCCTGACTGCTCCATCTCTTCAGCAGCGAGCGGATTAGACACATGCGCACCATCGGTCTCTTTGTGTGCACCACGAAGCGCTTGGCGTGGCCTCGCACTTGATAGCGGTCAAAGACCTGGAGCGGCCGCGTGCGCTCCGGGAGAGAGATGCGTTGTAAACACGGCCCTTGACACAACAGCGCCGAGTGGCTCCCGCTCGCCTTAAGCCCCGGAAGCTCCCCCGCACCCTTCAGCCTCCACCCCAGCCTCTGAGCCCACCTGGGTCATGGAACCTAGCAGCCCCGGGCCGAGGAGCCCGGTCCTCGGGAATCCCGCACAGGGCAGCGCGGTGCGGGCAGCAGGGCGCGCGGCCGGCGGGGGCAAGGCGGCCGCCCCGTCGCGCCCAGCGTGAGGGAGCGCGTCCCGCGAGCATCCTCCAGCCCAGCCGCCCCGCGGCCCGGGGGGGGTGGGGGGAGCCGGCCGCGCATCTGCCCGCCCCCGCCGGCCCCCTCCCGCCGGCCTCCCCCGCCCCGCGCCGGGAGCCGCGGCCGTGCGCCCGGGCCAGCTGTGCGCCGAGCCCGCCGCTGCCCGTGGCCGCCGCCGGGGGCGGCGCGGAGGGGGCGCTCGCCGCGGGGGCGGAGGGAGGGCCGGAACGCGGCGGGCTGCGCGCCTCGCGGCGCCGGGCCCGGCTCCCCGCGCGCGGCGGCCCTCACCGAGCCCGCGTCCCCGCGCGCGGGAGCTCCAGAGCGCCGGGCGGCGGCGGGCTGCGTGCGCGGAGCGGGCGGCCCGCGGCGGCTGTGGACTCCGGGCAGCGGCTCGCGCGGCGGACGAGCCCGAACGCGCTGGCCATGGCCTCCAACTTTAACGACATAGTCAAGCAGGGCTACGTGAAGATACGCAGCAGGAAGCTGGGGGTGAGTTGCTCGCTCCCTTCCCCGCGCTCCTCCCGCGGCGCGGCGGACCGCCCGGGTGGGGGGCGGGGAGAGGTGACCCGCGCGGGCACCGGGGCGGACAGGGACCCGGGCCTCCTACCCGCGGCCCGCTTGTTGCTCGCGGGGGCCCTGCGGACCCGGCCGGGGGCTCGGGCTGTGCCACGGTTTCCATTCAAGGAAGTGCGCGGGGCTGGGCAGTTACCACACCAAGTCCAGCGGAGGAGCCGAATCTTGGGGTTCCAAAAAGGGATGTGTCTCGGGGGAGATTTCCACACGAGACCATGCACCATGGTTCTCGGAAGAGTGTGCCTTTGGGCTAGCATCGCTCTGTGTGCAGGCGCCCTGGAATGTGTGTGTGTGTGTGTGTGTGTGTGTGTGAGAGAGAGAGAGAGAGAGAGAGAGAGAGAGAGAGACCGACCATGCTCTGGTTCCCGCATCCCAAACCCATCTAGAAATTGTCTTTGGATGCCCTCCCAGCGCCGCGCGTCTCTTGTCTCTGCCTGCCGGAGCCCACGAGTTTAATGCGCTCGGAACTGTTGCCCACCCAGGCTCCCCAGGCCTACGCGTGCACCTGCCCCTCGTGCAGGCAGGTGTGCCTTCTTTCACCTGCCCCCTCGTGCAGGCAGGTGTGCCTCCTCTCACCTGCCCAGACACAGGGCAGGAGTCCACAAAGTTGGTGCGACCTCTTCCGACTTTTCTTATTCAGAGATGCTCGCCAGTCTTGGGAAATAAGTGTACACACACACACACACACACACACACACACACACACACACGGGTTGGGGGGTGGGCGGAAAGGTTCAGACTGTCTGCCTGGTAAGTGGAGGGATGCGCAGACTGATGTGGAAGGCGTGGGTGTGGATGGGCGAGGCGGCTCCAGGGCAGACAGCTGCTCCCCCTGGGCTGACCTGCGAGGCTCCCCGGGGAGCGCGCGAGGGCAGGCCCTAACCTGGGCTCGCCCTGTCAGGCTGCGACGTGGGGTAGGACGTGTCCGTTTTCCGGATTCCTGGCATTTCCTGTCATTCGCTGGTCTCAAAGTTCCTGTTCTGCTAAGCCCATGAATCCTGGGACAAATCTCCCTGGAGCGAGAGCGTTCTCTGCCGTGCCCCCCGTATGGATAGCAAACCCTAACTGTGGGAAAGCAAGGGAAAGGGAGTCAACTTGCCTGGTTTTCGGGGAAAGGGGAGGAAACAGAAAAGAGAAGAAATGGACCATTAGCTCGCTAAGGTGCAGGGGACTCGGCCAGAGGTGGCTCGCAGGGGAGTCGGCAGGTGTCCCGCCGGAAGGCTGCGCCTCCGAGGCTGCCGCGTCTGAGTTTCACTCTGGAGGAGGGCTGTGTACCCCAGGGCCTCCAGCTCCCCAGCAGGGCTGTGGAAGGCCCTGCTGCGAGCGAGAAGTGCGAAGCTTCTGCCCACGAAGCCTGCCTCCCCCGCCAGCCTTGCGCTTCCTTGCCAGCCGCGCGTTCCTCCGGCCGGGAGAGAAAGCTGAGCCACAGCCGGGTTTCAAGAGCTTCAGCTCGGAGGAAATGCGCGCCTGTTTGGGTTCCAGGGAGGTGAGGACCCAGCCCTGTGGAAAGCTGCGGTTGTCCCTGGGGCTGAGGACTTGTGGTAGGCGCGCAGGGCTCTGATGGGCCATCTGCACAGCTGTCATCCAGGAAGCGGGGTGCCGACCTCGTGCTGGAGCTGTAGGTCATCTCGCGAACGTGACCTTTGAAGCCTTCCGCTCTGGTGCGCGTGCCTGCAGGTCACTGCCTCCAGGCACTCCGGGTGACATCACTGTTGTGTCTGACACCTCGGGCTGCGTAAATGAGCCCGTGCTTCTGTCTTGGCAGAGCCACCAGGCGCAGAAACACGGTGCCCACAGCTCAGAGAATCCCCTTCGCGCGCACTTGGCCCTGGATTCCCACGGGATTCTTTCCCATCTGGGCTTTCCAGGATCTGTAACCCAGTTGTAGGATAGCTGCCCCGGAAGAACCTGGCACGCTGCTGGAGTGCTGATGGTCTGAATAACCTTTCAGGTGTCATTTGAGCACGCTGTTTCTGTCAGTGCAGACACCTGGCTTTCCTACCCACGCTTCCCACCTCACCGTGGAGAGCCAGGCCTTTGGAAGGGCAGGTCCTCACAGGTGACCAGCGGTTGTACATGTGACTTCGTCTCCCACCCCCTTCCTGTCTGCATTCAAGATGGGAGTTGGAAGAACTTTTTTGTTTCAATGTCAAGTCAAATAGTAAATCCATCCTATTGGATTTTTAAAACCTCAAGGGCTTTTAAAATTCAGGCCATTCAAGTTTGCAGAATTCATTCAGATGGTGAAAGTTTGCCAAGCTGATTCTAGAAAGCTGAAGTTGGGGGAGTGCCCCATTTGATAAGAAAATTCTAGTAAGTATTGTGTGTCAAATTAAAAAAAAAATAAAATAAAGTGTGTTCCTACCCTAAGCGGCTACATCGGAGGTCTGAGCAGAACTTAAAGCGTTTTGTGTTCATGGTTCATATTCTCTGCTCATGGACCCCAACTAGTAGCTGTCCCAAGTGAGGTGCTGCCTTAGCCGGGGATGTCTGATGGTGGTTGACTGGTGAATGCCCAACACGACCTTTCGGAATGTCCATAGTGTAACTCTCATAGAGACCTCCTAGGCGAGTTCTTATAATCGACAGACTCAGACTCTTGAAACACAGTTTGATAATACATCAAGGGAGAGATGTCTGGGTGTGCGGCCAGTTGCTCAGACAGAATTATGAAATGAAACACGGCTTATGATGAGATGTTCCCATGGCCCCTCTCCTCTTCATAACCTAGAGGTCCTTGTGATGCTGGGTGACTGATGGGAAGCGCTCCTTGCCGCTTGGTCCTAGGCCAGCCCTTGCCGATCAGCTTCCTGATTTAGCTGGCTGAGAGGGCCCCTGCCACGTGTTGGAGAACCCGGGGCAGCCTGTCCAGCATGGGCCCTTGGCCAACTCTTGGGCAAAGCACAAATGCCCACATGACCTTCTGTTGAGAAATAGAAAGACCCATTGACTGGATTTTGCCATTACTTTATAGAAATATTTATCAACTCACTCTATTTTATAGGTCTGTTATCAAAAACACAGTAGCATGACTCATCATAATTTCCTTACCTTTTATACTGAACTTTCATTATAACGTATCTGTGTCTGTGAATGTTTGTTGTTTTGTGGGTCTGGAAGCTCTTTCAGTTGCTGGTTTCTCTGGCCAACTTCTCTCTTACGGAGTAGGCATTGTCATTCACAGTGCCACGGCTACCAGCCTTTCTTCTTTTAAAGAAAGTGGTACTGTAAGAACACTAGCAAATAAAACAAAAGCCCTCTTGCACAACCCTGCTTATCTCCTACCGGATCACCTACTTTATTCAGATATGTAATAGATTTAATTTAGCATGCAAGGCATACATTGCAAAATATCCTGTCTGTTCTTGATTTGCAGCCAAACTAAGAATTCAATCAGCAAAACCATTAGTAACGTAGTACCTTGTTTATTGACTTTATAAATTTATGTATATAAAAAAACCAAAATCCACGCTGATGACATATCCGTGTTTGTCGATAACATCACTGTAATACTTCTCAGTGCTATAATTTGACTTATTTTAAATTCAGGCTTCTCACTGTTGTTTTCAAGGAATTCTATTTAAATCTGTTAATGTGGTTAGTCACATTGTAACTGGTAAAATAGTGTTCTATATGGGCCTTTGATTTAGACCTTACTCAAAAAACACATTCACAGGGATTTATGCATTCAGTGATAATCAAATGAACATGGAGGACCTGTGGCTTATTACATGATGTATCCTGGAACACATATGTGCATATGGTGTACTCATGTGATAGGGCTGTTTATAACAAATAACTCTCCACCAATGTAGTTTACGATATAGTGAGCAAATAACCTTCATTTTACTCAAACTTGGCTGTAGGAAAGTGAAAGAACATATTTGAAATTTTTGGTGAGCTCTGACTTTATGAGTCTAACTTTTTTTCAGTATTCTCCATTTGTTTCAGAACTCTAAGAATTCATCTCTCTCTGTCCTCCGTCGAGCTTGGGTAAAACCCAAGACCCTTCCTTCCCTGGTTTACTCATGGTCAGTGCCCTTTGTGGGCACACCTGCCCCTACCGCTCTTGGAAACGTCCTTTCTCTGATGAAACTAGATGTCCAGAAGAGAAGCTTATGAAATCTTATCTTTCATAGGTGCTCATTAAATTAAATTTACCTTTGTGTATATAATTTTGCAGTGATTGTTAAAGCACTTAACATTTTTTTGTGTGTGTAATAGTAAACTGTATTTCTATGACACACAAGTCCAGTTTTCCAAAAATTGAGTGCAACAAATACAATTCAAATAAAATGAGTTATTTACTTAATAGTTAAGATTATTCAAAAGTTTGAAAAGAGATCTCAGGATTGTGAATTCTCCATTCGTAGGTCTGCCTTATTCATCCGAGAATATTCTGCATCCTCCCCATTTTCTGAAATGAATTCATAGCACTTACGCTCATTTATAATTTACCTCTCCCACACTGAGTATGCAGGTAGAATGTATGAAAAATTCCAGGTGCTGGAGTTGTGTATTTTGTTCTGGATTTATATTCATGATGACTGTTATGTATATTCTAAACATGTTTACATGCATATGCAACTTATTTTTGTATCTGTGCCTTGTTCTGGCCCTTGGACTCTTAGAATAGAAATAGGTCTTGTATCGCGACTGTCCAAAGCTTATAGCGTGTTAAGGTATTGGCAACTGTACATCTGCATTTGCATGCGTGTAAGTATGGGCGGGCACCTATCTGTCCAAGCTGATGAATGCTTACCTCTGCGTTAAGTATGTATCTATGATCACATGAACTTGCTTGATGTTCTTTGGACTTCAAAAATTTGAAATTCAATGAATTCCCTCTCTCCTCAAAGTAATCCTATCGCAGATGCTCAATCCTCGTAAGTGAGCGTGAGCTCTAAAGGTCCACA